TGGGGACACAGTATGGCCCAGATGATCAAATATGCAAAAAGCAAACCTTTGCTAATTAGGCAAGCTCCGTTTGCAGGAGGTGGGTGCAATGACTTGACGAATCAGCCCCTTTCCCCTTGAAGTTCTGCCTTGTAGGGAGCGCAGATATTTCTGCAGAGGGTAGTTGGTTGCCCTCGAGGGGATTGTGGGAAGGTTTCAGAAAGGGAGGAGTTTAACAAAATCTGAAGAACATTTCAAGCATAACATGTTCCTTCTTCTCTAATGAATAAGTATTTAATTTAGGAAAAGAAAATAAGATAAAACTTCAGAAGGAAAACAATAAGCCCCAGTGATGCTGACAAATTGCTGGCAGTGGCTCCGTCGCTGCAGGGCGAGGGGATGACGGATGGTACCTGCAGCCAGAGGACGGAGCTGCACCCAGCACTTGGAGGAGCCGGCTGCTCCCAGCCTCCAGTTGCTACACAGACACAAATGAGCCCACAAGAGGGCTGTGCTCGCCAAACTTCTCTGAAGATATATATCACCGATGCTGAGCACAGTTTTTATCACCTGTAATAGTGGGCTATTTCTTTTATTTATGTACTTACGGTCAAGTTTTTTGTTTGTTGGCCAGGACCTCTTTTTATTTGTTTGCTTGTTTGTTTTTCCTCTCTCTCTTATTTCACATTCTCAGTGCTTGGAAGAATGTGTTTTGCTCTCTTTAGTTAATGAACAGCACACCACGGTGTGCCCCTCTGCATGCTGTTCTTACCTTGACTCGGAGACTGGCAGTGCAACTGCAGTGGTAACAAGTGCACGTAATGTTATTTATATTGACTCTCCAATTTAGCCATTAGCCCAATAATTTTGTCGGCAGCCTTTTTGTTTGTTAAGGCTTGCTGCTACCACAACCCGAGTCAATATCTGCTCCAGAGGCTTCGTCAGCAGTGGCCCTGCCCTGCAGCAGGGCCATCCGATGGTGCCTCTTGGGGCTGGAGTCCTTTGCATGAGCTCTTCGCCCTATGGTGGTGCAGCATTAGTGGTACCCTGGTCTGAAACCTCTTTTATTTTAAATCAACTGTGCAACCGTGACTTGGATCCGTCACTGACCAGCCCTTCATGTTGGCACTGGAAACTATTGACCAGCAAGGGAGGCTGTGGTGCAAAACCAGAGTGAGTCATGCAGATGTGTAGCCCAGCCTAGGAACCTTCTGATGAGTTTGCTTTGCATTTTTGCAGAAATTTGGGCTGCAGAGGAAGGAGTTTCAGCCAAAAGGGGCAGGGGCGAACTTGGGAGAGAGAGAAAGCAGAGAGCTTCCAGGGAAGGGATTATCAGCACATCCCATCCATGCTGCGGCGTCCATTCTCAGATAAATGGTGACTAATGGAGGAGCTCAGGTCATAATAGGCCATTATCCTTATTGATGCACTGTTGTTGCGACCACGTGCCTGAGACCCTCCTCTGGAATGAGCGAGTGTACGTAATGGAGTGATTAATTTATATTACTTTGCACTTCTCCAAAGTCTCCCTTTGGAAGAGCTCGACGTGTTTTACAGTCGCTAATTAATTTAATCCCCCAACAATATCCACGCTGCCGAGGAGCAGGGCCTTTGTTCCCCCCGGTTTGGAACCTCGCTGCGAGGTTGGGGCTCTCACCTCAGCCCTTTGAGGGACGTCGTTCACTTTGCAGACACAAAGATTTCTCTTGGTGCCACCATCCGTAAGGAGGAGGCAGGATTTCCTGCAGGAGATGGAGTGGAATTCAGCCCTTTTTGCATATGATGAGTTCAAAAATTCCCCGTTATCGCTCAGGAGCTCTCTAAGGGATGGGCTGAAACTTCTGGGAGCCAGGAAATAAATAAGTGAGGCATTTCTGTTTCTGGGTAGGAATAGATTGTCATGACTACTGTCATAGTTTTCACTGTAAACAGTGCTAGAAATACTTCTGTGAAAGAGGGAGGTGGCTCGGAGTGTTAAAAATAATAATATTTGGCATGTGGCTGTCAGAAGCAATTGAATGTAAATGTACTCTGAGGATAGCGAGGAGGGTTAACAGTTGTCTGAGAGCCTTTGCAGTCTGAAAGTTCCCTGGGAGATTAAGAGGAAGATGATGAGAGAGGAGCGTGACGCTCTGCTCCCTGCTTCCGCATACGGGAACTTGGCTAAGGCAGTCAGAGAAGTCGGCAGGGGGAAAATTGCTGCCATGGGTTTGGTGCCTGGGAGCCGTGTCCTCATGGCCCAGAGCGATGTGGGATGTGCGGGTTCTATGGAAAAAAAACAAGGTGGCCTTTGGCGGGGTTATCTGGGAGGAATTTGCATGCTAACTCGGATAGCTAATCTTTCATCATGTTTAATAAACTGACTAAAGATGTAATTCCTTGTCTCTTAAGGCTCGAGATGCTTAGTTAAATACGACTACTTTTGAAATGCTAATAGGCGGAGACAGCAGGAGAAAAAGTTAGTGGTGTGCCGAGCAGATTAGTTTCTAACAGGCCGTAAAAATAATAGCTTAATAAAAGT